ATGATCTGCTGCCGAACGCATCTGCGCAGCGGATGGCGTGCGTGCGTGTGTGCGCGGTGCCTCTCGATCTGCTCTTTGCGCCCGCCCTCTGCGAGGGCACAGCTCCCGAGGGGACAGGGCGGCAGGGCCGCGGCTGGGCTCCAGGAGGGACGCGACCGACCCGATCTGCGAGTGGCTCGACGCTGGCGGCGGTCGGTGGGTCGCCGACGTTGAAAGTCCCATCTGGGACATGCGCTAAAACAGGAACACACCGCAGACGGATCGACCCTTTTCTCCGACCCTGTACTGCGCCGAGCGCAACGCCTGCGGTGTCTACAGACACATCCACCCCGAAGGCGTCTGTATATGTGATGGCATGCAATGTGTCTATACACGCTTGTGGCTAGGAGCTGAGGACTGGATCTGGCAAAGGCCCCATAGATTGGCCTCCTGGAGGCAAGCAAGCTTTGCCCTCCGACGCCGACCCCCAGTTGCCGCGGTTGCAAAGGCGTAGGAGATGGTTGCTTGGCCGTCACCCGATCCCCTCTTCCCCCTCCCCCAGGGCCCCAAATCCGCCGACCCTTCGGCGTGTGTGAGTCGCTGTCGTCGTCGGCGGCGTCGTCGTCGGCGACGCCGCCGCAGGTCTCGAGGAAATTGAAGCATAAGGAGAAGTAACGTCGTAGCTTCCCCGTCCTTGTTCCCCCTCCCCCGCGGTCCAAAATCGAGTTGAAGGGTATCGAGTTGAGAGGTAGGGGGGGGCCACGAGCCTCTGGTCGGGCATGTCCAACTACCGGATTCTGGGCGACAAGGAAAAATATCCCACACAAAAATCAAAAATTGTACAAACAAAAACACCCAAACTATTTGTTTACTATTTTTGAACATTCCTCCTGAAGAGGGACAGGCCCGACTTAAATCGAGTTGAAGGGTGGGGGGGGGGGGGCACGAGCTCCTCGCCGAACCCCCCCCCAGCGCCGCTGGAGCCTCCAGCTCCGTGCGCGCGCCGCTCTGGAGCCCTCTGCAGTGGGGGCCCCCCGGGGCTCCGCGAGGGGCGCTCCAAGCGGCAGGCCGCGGGGGGAAGTCCTCGGGAGGGGGCCGCCCATGCTTAGGACGGGCATGTCCCCCTACAGGCGGACTTGGGGCGAAAAATAAAAGATACCTCAACAAGTACCCTAAAATAGCAAAACAAAAAAACAACAGTTAAAAAACAACAAAAAAAACGTCCGCCGACTATGTAACTATTTTTGAATTTTCCTCTTGTAGGAGGACACGCCCGACTTACGCTTCTGGCCACGCCTGGTCTGGCGGCTCCCCTTTGCCAAGCAGCCCGCCCGGGAATCGATGATCCTGGGCTCCGGGCCCACGGGCCCTCCCGTCCCCAGATGTGATGGGTCTCAGGGTCCCTCGGGCCCCCCCCCCCCAGATGGGACGGGGCGGGGAAGACGACGACGACAACGACAACACCGTCCACTCCGGCTCCCTCAAGCCCCGAAACACTACGCCACACCCAGAGGGAGGCGACGACGGGGAAGACACAGTCGACGGCTACGACGACGACGACGACGAAGTGACGCACGATCAAAGATTGGCACCTCCCCTCCGTCAAGTGTGACAATTGCACGCCATGCCTGGCACGGCGATGCATGTGCCGATGCCCATGCCTACGCTGATGTCGTCGTCGTCCTCCTCCTCCTCCTCCTCCTCATCCCTGATGGCGGGGGCCGCACTCCATACCCACCACCGCACGCTCACCGGGGAAGCCCACCACGCCACGCTCACAGGGGGGAGGGAGGGCCCATCGCGCGGAGAGGGGGGGGCCGCTGGCACTAGCATGAGGGAGGGGGGGCCTGGACCCTGGATTATACGTAGCAGCTGGCGTAGCACCCCGCAGATGCGGTCAAAAGTGAGGGGGCGGTGGGGACGTCGGCAGTTTGCGAGACTCTGAAGAAGCCCGCCGCAGGCGCAAAAGTTTGACAAATTATGAGAGTGAGGGGGCCGAACGGTCATTCACTGTCCCTGGGTGCGTGGCTGAAGTGGGGATCCGTGGTGAAGATTATGCTTGTTGCGTTGTCGTTGCTGCTGTTGTTGGTGATATTATTGTGGTTGTTGTTGGTGATGTTGTTGTTGGTGTTGGTGTTGTTGCTGCTGTTGTTGCTGTTGATATTGTTGTTGGTGTTGCTGATGCTGCTGTTGCTGTTGTTGTTGACGTTGCTGTTGGTGCTGTTGTTGTTGCTGCTGTTGTTGGTGGTGCTGTTGTTGTCGTTGTTGTTGTTGATGTTGATGTTGTTGTTGGTGTTGTTGGTGTTGGTGTTGTGAATGTTGTTGTTATTGGTGTTGCTGCTGTTATCGTTGTGGTTGTCGTTGTTGTTGCTGATGTTGTTGTTGTCGTTGTTGTTGTTGTTGGTGGTGGTGTTGTTGTTGGTGGTGTTGTTGTTGGTGTTGTTGCTGATGTTGCTGGTGTTGTTGTTGGTGGTGGTGCTGTTGTTGTTGGTGTTGGTGTTGCTGCTGCTGCTGGTGTTGTTGTTGATGTTGTTGGTGTTGCTGTTGTTGTTGGTGTTGTTGTTGGTGTTGTTGATGCTGGTGGTATTGTTATTGTTGATGATGTTGTTGTTGTTCGTGTTCTTGTTGTTGTTGATGTTGTTGTTGTTATTGTTGTTTGTTGTCGTCGTCCCACCCGCGACCCACCCCGCGACCCACCCCGCGACCCACCACGCGGCTCACCCCACGACCCACCCCACGACCCACCCGCGACCCAACCCACCCGCGACCCACCGCGACACACCCCACGACCCACCCGCGACCCACCCGCGTGCTACGTACGAGCCCGCCGCAGGCGCAGCTTTTTACGTTAAATTCATATGGGTGGATCGCGGATGGGTCGCAAATGGGTCGCTGTTGGGGGACGGGTAGGACGCGGGTGGGTCGCGGGGTGGGTCGCGGGTGGGTCGCAAGTGAATCGCGGGTGGGTCGCGGGTGTGTCGTGGGGTGGGTCGCGGGGTGGGTCGCGGGTGAATCGCGGGGTGGTTCGCGGGGTGGGTCGCGGGGTGGGTTGCGGGTGGGTCGCGGATGGGTCGCGGTTGGGTCGCGGGGTGGGTCGCGGGGTAGGTCGCGGGTTGGGTCGCGGGTGGATCGCGGGGTGGTTCGCGGGGTGGGTCACGGGGTGGGTCGCGGGTGGGACAACGACAACAAACAACAACAACGCAACAAGCAGAACCCTCACCACGGATTCCCGCTTCAACCACGCACCAAAGGACAATGAATGACCGTTCGGCCCCCTCACTCTGATATACACACACACTTACCCGAAATCAGTGGCTCCATCGTGCCCCCCCATCGTTGGCGCCCCCAGCGTGGGTCCCAAGTATAACCTGCTGAAAAACTGTATAGGGTATTCTGCCGCAGGAGTGACAATCTTCTAGACAGGGGCTCACATACCTTTCGCGTCAACGCCCAAATTCGGGACAGAAAGAACAGGCACGACGCCCCACGGCGAATGTTGTCCAACATCCGACGGCGGTTGTTGTTGGGCATGCGGCTTTCGCTCCGAGTTGACAACATCCACGGCGACACTGACAGCCAACCCTGTCCGAAGTGGTCAAGGATGCCGTCGGTCCTCGTCACCGTTCATTATGTGCTCGTTTCGGCCCTTTAGACCTCGACTACCCTGAACCGACTGTTCATGGGGGCCCCGAAACGGTGCGGTGACAGAACATGCGGTACCATCGGAATCCCCAACGACCACACCGCACGGTCCGTCACCGCACCGTGTTGTAACCTCGAAGGCCCGCAGTCGTGCGAAACATCCACGGAAAACGACCCCCAAGTCCCAAAACCGTGCGGCCATCCCGAATAACCACTGACTCACGGCGCTATGCGGACTGCACTGTTTGGTGGCCTCCGATGTTCACCCAGAGTCGATGATTTCTCCTGGCAGACGGGCGGAAATCTCGCGTGCGCGGATAGCGGCCGCGGAGAAGGTGAGTGCGGGGCCCGAAACCCTCTACGAAAAAAGAGGGGCAGCCGATACTACCGCTTTAATGTGCTCTTGTGGTCGCGCTGTCTTGGCGCAATCTGCGTGGACACTGTTTGTCCTGGCATCGGAGGGAGGAGAAGAATACGCACACCTCTGCACCACCACCAGGCCGAGGAGGAGGAGGAGGAGGAGGAGGAGGAGGAGGAAGCCTCCTGGGGGCCTCCCTGCCAGGGCCATCGTGGACTCTGGCGTGGGGTGCACTCCTTACTGGCCGAGGCCAGGAGGAACTGTACACCATCCCTAGTGTCAGGTCGGGAATGTCCTCCTACAGAGGGGTTTGGAAAAACAAAACAATAAAACATGCCCCCAAATAGCCAACACATGCTCAAAAATCGTCCCCCGAATATGGTTTGACTATTTTTGAATATTCCTCCTGTTGAGGGACATGCCCGACTTAATCCTAGTGGAGCAAGCAGCATGAACAGAAACATTCGGCGGTCTGCGCCGACAGCGGCGAAGGACCTAGAAGAGGAAGGTAAAAATATGAGGTAGGAAGGCGGATAACGTAGATTGGGTTCGGGCCCGCCCAAGGTATAACAAAAACAACCAGCACAGATCGATTATTGAAGTAGGAAGGCGCTTGAAGTAGATGGATTTCTGGATATCCCAAATTACCTGCTTTCAACGACTGGCCTGTACACCTTTCGTTCGGTAGAGGCCTCCCATCTGGGGTCCGAGCACATGTGGTCAGACGATCGCGCCGCAACGGCGTGGCATCCCCGATGCATCGGCGATGCGTGCGATGCAACGGCAAGGCCGGCGTGGAGGAAGTCGGACTCCACGTCGAGTCGCATCCCCGATGCGTCGGCGATGCCGCGCGATCCACCGACCCCACCTCGTCGTCGCAAGGCCTGGGGCCACCTTGGGGCCCCGGGAGGCCCCGGCGGGGCGAGGCGGTGGCGCAGAGGTGCCCCCCTGGCGGGGAGGAGGGGGCGCGGGCGGCAGCGGGCGCCCGCGCCGGAGCGCCGCAGCCCCGCCGCGCGGCGGCTCACTCCCAGGACGCCTCGGCGAACACGAAGCTGGCCTCCTCGACGAGCACTCCCTCGACGCTGCCGCCGGGGAGTCCGCCGTCCTCGCTGGGGCACTTGCACATCCTGCCGCCCAGGACGTCCTCCAACGGGGGCTTTGTCGACTGTCCGCCCTGCCGACCCCGGCCCCCGGCCGATCCTGGGCCCGCCCTGGTGGTCTTGTGTTCCACCGCCACCACCATAAGTAGGAGGAAGAGGGGGTCCTCCTCCTCCTCCTCCTCCCCCTCCTTCCCCCCTCCAACTTATGGTGGTGGTGGTGGAAAACAGGCCCATCATGCCCGGGATCGGTGAGGTGGACACTTGACGCACCCCCGGGTCATTGTCGTCGAACTTGCCCACCAGGCTGGCGGCCGCCTCGTTGTCCGCAGGGCGCCCAGCCGCCCGAATCTTGTCCCAGCGGTCCTTCCATGCAGGCTTGAAGTAATAGCCGTGCTCCGCCTCGTCCTGGCTCTCGATGCGGTAGCGCGCCGTGGCCCTGTGGTGGACGCACGCGGCAGAGGGGCGCTCAAGGCTCTCCGCGTGTGCGTCGAAACCGAGCAGCCCACCGACGTCGACGCGGCCGAGCTGGGACAGCTGCCGCACCGCCACGTTCAGGTGCTCCTGCTCGGGCAGGTCCTGGCGCAAAGTGATCTTGGCGCCAGTCGGGCTCTTCTTGTTGCGCAGAGAAAGGGTGAACATGCCGGCCGCAATCGGCCCCTTCTTTGAGCGCTTCTTGGGAAACCACGTTGCCTTGTCTAGTGAAACTTCGATGTCCGACTCCGGATCGGAGAGCACAAGATCCTTCGCCTGAAACTCCTCGATTGTCTGCCAGGGAGAATCACTATCGCCTTCGAGCAGGCGAGCACCGAGGAAGGCGTCGGTGTCGTTCGAATGGGATCGGCGATAGCAGCGAACCTGCACGGACTTGCCACCGAGCCAGGAGCCCGAGAGCTCCACCTGAGTAATGTACGTGGTGCATGGCTTCCCGACGTCCGCCTGAATGCCCGCCTGCAACGAGAACTCGGCCGGCTTCTCGGCAGCTTGAGGAAAACGGAGCAGTGCGAACTTACCCTCGTGGTTGATGTCGAAGTGCTCTCCTTGCAGGTTTACCAAGTGCGGGTCACCCTTGGCCCCGACCGTCGGGGCTGGAGTCGAGAATTCGGGGTACGGGCCAGCATTGGAACACACACCAGTGCCGTTGGGGTACACAGTGCACACCTCAGTTGTCTCGCAGCAATCAGTGCCACATGCGCAGCAACAGCCAGCGGCAGAGGGAGAGTATGAGGAGCTCACCTGGGTCCCGTCGGTGGAAGTGCACGTCTGCGAAACGGAGGTGTCATAGGTAAAGTCTTCAGGAAGCGGCACGGCAAGATCGAGTATATACCCCCCGAGAATGGGAGTAATCCCCAACACGACCGTCGAATGCGTGATAATAACAGACGGATCACTTGACCTTCTTCCAGTGATGGTTATCGGGTCTCCCAGGGAGAACTCTGTGCACGTTTGATACGGGACGTCCACAGTAATGTTCGCCGAATTGTTCCCACCCTTGGCTGGAGGTTTGTAAATGTCCTTGCAATCGTCGCAATCTTCGCAGCCGGGCCCATAGCCTTCTTCGCAGGAGGTGCACTCTGTGGAGCGGCGCCTGGAGACGCAGGAAGCCATGACCAGATCGAAAAGGGCACGGGGGCAATGGGGCCAGGTTCAACCCTAGCCCAGAAAAGCATGGCCGGGCCAACTAGAGGAGAAGGAGGAGGAGGAGGAGGAGGCGTTTGTGTGGTCAGGTCAAGGCTTAAAGTGCCCGATACGCCTGCGCGTATATCCATTGCAGACTTGGCACCCGCAGGGGTTCGAAACGATGTACTGGCCCTCAGGGCACTCGTCGCACGGCTCTGGAACCTCCGTCGGGCAGACTTCAGTAGCGTTCATGTCGTAGATGATCTCCCACTCGGTGTAGTCCGCCACCGCGCTTGAGGCGGTTGGTGGGCTCCAAACCCCTGCTTTGTCATTAGTGTCGCATCTTGTAAAGCATCCTTTCGACGCAACAAGCCCAGCGCACACCATTGCAATGATGCTGCGTGCTAGAAAATACGTTGCAATGGAACAGCTAAGTCCACACGCTTTTTGCCTAGCAAGCAGAAGACGGTCTCATGGGCCCATGTCCCGCCACAACTACCGTAGGTAGGAGAGGGAGGAGGAGGAGGAGGAGCCCCGTCCTCACTGTGGTGTGACCCGACGTGGCCTGTGCACTCCCGGGACACCCCCCCCCCCACATCCTCCCCCCGTCAGCACCTCGCTCCCCCCCCAGGGCGCCAAGCCCGAGCGCGGTGGCGGACTCGCGCGGCAACGCGGCTGGATTGATGCAGCCGTCCCCGTCCAGGTCCCACACCGTGGGCCCGTAGGAGGCGGGCACCGTGGTGCAGTTCCCCAGCAGCGGTGCCTGCACGTCGCACTCGTCCTGGGTGATGCAGGTGTCGTTGTTGAGGTCGTACCTCTCGAAGCAGGCCGGCTTGTGGCAGAGGCAGGGCACCCCCGGGAGGTCCATCACGTAGGTCGGCTCTGGCGTCGGCTCGGGCGTCGGCGCCTGCGTCGGGAATGCTGTCGGCGCAGCAGTCGTCTGCGGACGCCCCGCGCCGTACTGGCGGCCCGCTGGGTCCTCCGCGAGCTTCATCGCGGGAGCCGCCCGCAGCAGCGCGGCTGCGACCAGGGCGCGGCAGGGAGTCGTCATACCAGGCACGATGTCTCGGCGTCTAGCCGGAAGTGGATGTGTCCACAGCCGTGGAGCAGATACGGTAGTGAGAAGGTTGGGGGCGACGATGGGGGCGAATAGCCCAGGGGCAGGAGACCCCAGAATCGAATCGCTTTAGAAGTCGGATCAGAGATCGGCATGCATCGGATCGGGATCGGCGGAAATCGGCAGCCGAGTCGGGAAAAATCGAATCGGCGGAAATCAACAGGCCAATATGCCTCCAATAGGAAATCATAACCCAAAACGGAATCCCAAATCGGATCGCATAGGAGCCGGACGCCGTCGAAATCGAACCAATCGAATCGGAGGAATCGAAATGAGCCCTGAGCAGGGCAGAGCAGTTCGTGCACCCAGGGGCGACGATGGTCCATGCCTTCGGCGAGACCTCGGGGGGCGTCTGCGCGTAATGCCCGCACCCGGTCTGTTCGCCCGTATCGTCGCCTCCGCGGAGGCGTATGGTGGGGCGCGGCGGCGCGGGCGCTTGCCTCCGAGCCATCGGGAGACGAGGGCATCAGGAGGGGCACAGAGAAGCCGAGGGCTCCTCCTCCTCCTCCTACTCCTATTCCTCCTCCTCCTCCTCCTCCTCCAACTCCTCCTCCTCCTCCTCCTCCTCCTCCTCCTCCTCCTCCTCCTCCTCCTCCCTCAAGCACATGTGGCTCAAGGCGCTTAGGTACTCTTTCGGCTCAGACTCGCCCTGGCGTCGCGTCCGTCACCGCCCAGAGGTGCTTGGGGGGCACCGCGTCTCCCGCGCAGGTTCGCAGGCGATCGCGGTGGCGAAGGCGGGCAAACTTGTTGGTGAAGAAAAAGATATACAGTTGGTTCGCTCCGCTTGCTACTATTACCACATTCAGCACTTGCGGTGGGGGTGGAAAGTGGCAGCGGCTGCTGCGGCTGCTGAGCATTATGTGGGAGGCAAAGCTGGCATCGACAGTCGTCATCCTCCCTGTCTGGAACGGTAAATGCGGAAAGGACGAGCAAAGCCAGGCAGACTGTGTCTGGGCACCGAGCTTTGACCCCATCTCCTACAGTGATGGTATCGGCGCGTGCGAGAAGGGCGACCAATTTTGGAGTGTTCAGTAACTGCTGAGCGTAATGTGGGAGCCGGGGCTTGGTTCGACTGTCATCAGCTACAACGCTCGGATCAACAACTGCGAGGTGGGCAGACATAAGCAGCGAAGTGCCGCTGGTGGGCGAGATGGAGGGCGACGTGTGAGCCGACCGTCATCCGCTAACGCTTGGACCAGCACGTGCGAGAGGGGCCAGAGGTGGCAGCGGGCAGGATGTTTGTTGGAGCAACACGCGGTCCCCTCGGCATGTTTTCACGTATCATGCTAGCATGGGCTATCGTGCAAACCATGTTAGTGTATTCAGTCAAATGGCCTCTCAACGTCTAATGTCAGCGGCCCGTCGGAGCGCTCTCCGCTGCAGTGTCGCAATGGGCAAACTGAGAGGCGTGCACCACCACCACCACCACCGCCACAACAACAACAACAACAACAACAACAACAACATCATCATCATCATCATCATCATCATCATCATCATCATCATCATCATCATCATCATCATCATCATGATCATCATCATCATCATCATCATCAGCATCATCATCATCATCATCATCATCATCAGCAGCAGCAGCATAATCATCATCAGAATCATCATCAGAATCATCATCATCATCATCAGCAGCAGCAGCATCACCATCACCACCACCACCACCACCACCATCAGCACCATCATCATCATCATCATCATCAGCATCATCATCATCATCATCATCATCAGCATCATCATCATCAGCATCATCACCATTCATCAGCATCACCATCAGCAGCATCGTCATCAGCATCAGCATCAGCATCAGCATCATCACCAGCATATGCGTCATCATCAGCACCATCAGCATCAGCATCAGCATCAGCATCAACATCAGCACCATCATCGCCAACACCATCATCATCATCATCATCATCATCATCATGATCATCATCATCATCAGCAGCAGCAGCAGCAGCAGCATCAGCATCATCAACATCATCAGCATCAACATCATCATCGTCATCATCATCAACGGCACAAATCCTCACCTCTTTCTGCTCCACCTCCTGCTCCGCCTCCTCCCCCTCTGGCTGCTCCGTCTGCTACTCCTGTTCCTGCTCCTGCTCCTGTTCCTCCTCCTCCTCCTCCTCCTCCTCCTCCGCCTCCGCCTCCTCCTCCTCCTCATCCTCCTCCTCCGCCTCCACCTCCTCCCCCCCCCTCCTCCTCCAACTCCTCCTCATCCTCTTCCTCCCCCTCCTCCTCCCCCTCCTCGTCCTCCTTCTCCTGTTTAACACTAGGCGAACGCTAGCCAGTGTGCTGCAGCGTGTGTCCTTCTCCTCCACCTCCTCCTCCTCCTCGTCGTCCTCCTCAAGCAATCCCCGAGGTGAAAGGCCACAACACGAGAATCCACGGTATTTCGCACACCACGTGACCAATTCTAATGGACGAAAAACGTTCAGTTAGTTTCAGTGTGGCCCCAGCGACCGAGCCCGCTCACGCAGCCAATGGCGCCAGAAAGGGTCTGGCCCGCTCGATCCTCCCCAAGATGGCGGTCTGTGACACCGACGCACGTCTGAAGCTGGACCCCGAGATGCGGCGAAAACCCGCACTCACCGATCTGGGTGCACCACGCCGCTCGCATCGCGCACCACGTAGACAGCAAGACGTAGCTTGAACCCCTCAGCAGGCACCAGATAGTTTCCACCATGTTATTTCCACCACGTAGCTACCACTCACAGTATGCGGAAACTTGCTGTTCAGGCTCCCGCATCTGCACTGCCATACGGACGCCTGGACTGCACCAACCACGGGGCACGGGCCCTCGGCTCGACCTCTCTGCGGCCAATGCACCCCGCATGGGCGTGCCAAGGCGTTGGAGCCGCCCCAGGCGGTGTGCGCACACATGCGCAGAAACCGTACTGGTGCTCAGTCTGTCGTTGTTGCTGCCGTGCCAACGATGCGCAGTGCGCGGCGTGACTTGCTGATCCTGCCAGAACGCGCGGCCGAACGGGGGCACGCAGTACTCTACGCTATGAGTTCGCACACCCGTCTCGGGCAGCTGCGCGCGCGGCGGCACTCGCTGTTCCTGCCAGCGCACCGCCGGGAAAGAAGGCACGCCGCGCGCTGCCCCAGGCACGCGCGTCCTTGTCCAGCGCGGCCCCCTTGGAAGACAGACGTTCGTTGACGCGGAACACGTGAGCCCGAAGACACAGGCGACGGGAGTCGACATAGGCTCCGAATGTTCTGTCCCAAGGGGACATTAGTGTCCATGTCGGGTTCTGGTGAGCCGACCCCCCCCTCCCCCCAGCCGGATTGGACCGCATCGGCACGAGATCAAAACCGAATCGAAACGGCTCTGCCAGGATGCACAAGAACGCCATGTAAGTTTAGGTCGGGCATGTCCTCCTACAGGCGGATGTTGGACGACAAATTAAGAATTGCCCAACAATGCGCCTAAATAGTTGAACATGAAAAATCGACCCCATACCTCTTTTTTCAAAAGTCACACCAGCCCGCTGGGCGTAGGTAGCCTAAAGATGTCTGTCTTTCCTCTTCCCCCCACAAAAAGCAATTCCCCGTCGGGGAAGGGTTTACCCCTCCCCTACCCCCTCCCCTGGACTTTTTGGGGGGTGTCGCGGGTCGTCGGGGCGTCCAAGATGGGCACCTGGGAGGGCCAATGTTTGACACACCTCATGAGAATCGTGGCCCCCGAGGGGGGGAGCCGATCGGGAACTGCCCTCCTTTGATCGATAGCCTCGAAGATGGCTTCAAGAAATGTTCCAAGGCTCCCAAGAGAGCCCCAAGAGAGCCCCAAGAGAGCCCCAAGAGGGCCACAAGAGGGCCCCAAGAGGCTCCCAAGAGGGCCGCAAGAGGCACACGAGAGGCTCAGAAGAGGCCCCCGAGCGGCCTTCGAAAGCCCAAGATGACCTCAAAGATGGCTCAAATAGCCCAAGCTGGCTCAAGATGGCCCCCAAGATGCTCCAAACGGCCCAAGACCGCTCCAAGAGCGCTCCAAGAGAGCCCCAAGAAGCGGTTTGCGGTCTCGTGGGGGGAGATGAGTCGGGCCCCCCCTATCCTGTAATCGATGGCATCCAAGATGATCCCAAGAGGGGTTCCAAGAGGGCCCCCAAAACTCTCA